CGGAATGCTCCCTACGTGCAGGTGGGCTTTGAGTCAGGAAAGTGACCCACGACACACAGTGCTGAAAATCCACCAGCTGTCCTCCAGCTGGTTATCTCCTGCTCAGATAAGCAATCAGACTGAAGAAGAGTCAGGGGAAAAAAATGCAGGAATTTTACCAGGCATAGGAAAGAGAGACGCACTATCTGGGGGCCCTCGGCCAGCCTGACAGCCCTGCAGCAGGCACGCTACCCTGTCACCCTAGCCCTGCAGGAAAGGGGCCAGGTGAAGGTTGCAAAGGGTTTCCCAAGTGCAGCTGGAGAAAAGCTCTCAGAAACAATCTTGAGGGGGGCGGCTGGGATTGGAGGCATCCTTACTTATGGGAATAGCTGTGCTCCCTCGTTGCCTCTGTGTTTGAGCAATGAGGATGCCTTCTGAAAGAGGGACGAGCAGAGTCTCAAGTCCATGAGCGCTGCTGGGCTGCGGCTAGGCCAGCTGCCAGTGGGGAAGGTCCGTGGGACAGCAAAAGTGTGGGTCTGTACATGAGTGCCGTCTGTGGGAGTTCGGATCAAGCAGCCAGGCAGTTGGTGTTCTCAGGGTGAAGTGGCAGGGATTACAGAGAGCCGCACTGTCACCCTCACAGCCGTTGCTCCAGCTGTCCCGAGTACTGGGAGCTGCTGCTGGCCACGGCTTCGTGGGTGTGAGGCAGGAGCTGCAGGATGCTGCCGAGGTTGGATGGGTGTGTTGCTTGTGCAGCCCATTCAGCCACATCAGAAAATTCAGGCAGAAGATAATTTGCTGGTGTAACATGAGGAAAGCCAGTTATTTATGTGGCAGACATGGAGTTTTGAGGTGGTGCTTCTTTCTGCAGATACATGTTCTGGAGCTAACAAGGGGCTGATAAGTATCTGAGTTTGCAGGATATGGCCTGTTTCCAGTGACAGTTGTGCCAGGCGAGAGGGAGATGCCTTTGTTCTGGCTCATTGTGTTGACTCGGAGGGAAGGAAGTGGCTGGAGTTCCTGATGTTCTTGGCTGGCGGGGCAGGGTCCCCGGGAGTCTCTGGGATTGCTCCAGCAGGTGTTGTTGTGGAGAACAGGATCCCTGCCTTCCCAGTGATGTGGATTTGTTCTGGACTGACCTCACCCTCTGGAGAGCATGTGTATTGTTTTCTCCTGAAGTGGCTAATCAAATGAAGAAAACATATGTTGGCCACTTCACCTGAATCTCCAGAAAGTATTTGGGACCTGAGCTGTGATCCGGAGGGTCACGAGCTTTGCCCGGCGCAGCTCTCTGCTCTGAATAAAACCCAGAACAAAACCCCTGCTCTGGCAGACTGTGTGTTTTGACCACAGACACTGCAGCCTGTGTCACCTTCACTGAGCCCAGTGCTCCACAGAGCTGACTTGTCACTGTTCACAAAGTTTTCTCCAGATGCCCTCATGTTTCCAGAACTTCAGCTTGCCCAAGGAACGGCACTGTCCTGTGCTTGGGCAAGAACGAGAAAGCAGCTAAAAGCATCTGAATTTCACCCAGATGAAGCTGTGCTGGAGTCACGTATTCATGAAGCTTATGTCAGTTCTCAAGTGGTGTAAGGGAAGGAAGAGCTGGGGACAGCATAGCTGGCTGAGCCGAGCGCCCCGTGCCTGCAGAGGGAGCGTCCTGTCCTGCCTCCATCCAGGGCGTCAGGCTGGAGCAGCAGCGTGGCAGTGGCCTTGGTCAGCCGGAGCAGCAGCATGTTGGTGCGGTGGTGGGAGAGCGCTCAGAGCGTGGGCATGCAAACAACGCCGTCCCTTCCAGCGCTGCGCGAGTGATCGGGACGTCCTCTGCTGTGGCAGCACCAGAGAAACCTGTGCAGAAGTGGGGCTGGAGTCGGCGTGGCTCTTCAGGGGCCCAGCCTCAGCAGCTGTTTTGGTGGTTTGACCATCACGAGTGTCCTGGCTCTTGACATCTGCGTAGCTCGTTAGCTCGCAGCTGTGTTGGTGCAGCGGCTACGGCCGTGCAAGCGTGACATGCGGAGCATGCAGCCTTGCATGGGAGATGCCACGGCAAATTCACCTTCCTGGAACACAGGGCCGCTCCGCTCCTGGCATCCCCGAGCCGGGGGAAGGCAAGTCGCTGCTGGCATTCGCCACGCACTTCAGGCACTCGGAGTACCCCAGGGTCTGCCCCTTGATTTCACTGGGCCCTGTTCCTGCCAGTGTTGGACTGGGATCCCCCATCCCTCCTCTCTTCAGTTCCTGTCTGCCCCGGGGCAGAGAGCCCTGGGGCTTTTCTCCAAACCTTAGCCTAGCAGCTCCGCTCTCTGCATGCCCGTTCCACACACTGCCTTTCGGCTGCTGCTGGCGTTCTGACAGCGCTCGTCTCGGCAGCTCCATGGCTCCCCTGCCCAGCTCCATAGATTAAAACCACTCAGGCAATAAATTTCTGAGCCGTGGGCTGCAGCCCCACAGCTGTGACGCTTTGTACAGTGATGGGCTATTTCCAGCCTGTCCTGGGAACAGAGAGGTGATTCATTGCAGCAGGGACGCACGCTATGTGCTGCTCAGATGAAAACCAATCCCACTCCAGACCTGTGCCCCTCTCCTGGGCACATGCTTGTCCTCTGCCACTGGGATCAGAAACTTGGCTGACCCGGGAGAGCGCAGAAGCTGAATGAACTCACCCCCTGTCCCGAGTAGAGACAGCGTAACCTTGCAGACCTAGCTGTGTGAGTCGGGGCTGCCGTCTCTGCTGTCTTCAGATACGGGCTCGGACAAATTCCCTAACTTATTCCCCAGCAGAGAAATGGGAAAAACAGGGCGGCCTGCTGCATCCCAAGAGATGTCCCAGCCCCACATCTGGATCCTGCAGGCCTTGGGAAAGTCTGAGTGCAGACTGGGGTCGGCCAGGCCAGCGTGTCAGGCTGGGCAGCGTGGCCAGACTCCCGGCTCCGGACCATGCTGCCATCTGCAGCCCAGCACCGCGCTGTGCCCAGGACCCCCGTGGCCAGGCCGGAGACATGGGGGTGGCCAGCAGTCTTACCAAAAGACCACCCGCAGGAAGGAAGCTGAAATGCTGTGGGCTGGGGGGGCCAGGAAGGGCTCTGGGTAGGGGCTGGGGAGCCAAGGGGCACCGCATGGCTCCAGGGGGTTCCCTGCACCCCTCTATGGCAAGATGTGGGCAAGGGCTTTCCTGGGGTCAGGAGCCGGGGGGGGTGTGTGATGGCCAGGTCCTGGGGTGAAGATGAAACTGGAGGGGATGGGGCTGGGACAGCGGCACAGGAGGAAGGGGAAAAGTCTCCAGTTTCAGCGCTGGCCTGCCTCTTCCTGCACTGCTGGAGTCAGGGATGGGTTTGGAACCAGCCCAGAGCGAGCAGAGCGGGTATACCTGAGCTTAAATACAGCAGAGCCCTGAGCTGCTGCCGCCGGTGGAGCAGATCCTCGTTACAGTAATTCATGAGGTGCACTAAGGGAGGATGAGTCCAGGCCTGACGTCGCCTGGGTCTGTTCAGCCACGAGCGGTAGCTGCGCTTCTGCTCTGCGGCACTGCAGGGCGGTTTTTTTGGCTCCTGGGCCTGGCCAGGCTGGGGGGGTCTGTGTGTGTCTCACTGGCTCCACTCTGTGTCTTGCAGGATGAAGTGAAGCTCCCGTCTAAACTGAGCATCAGCAAGTCTCTAAAGGAGGGTGAAAAGCTGGAGAAGGAAGGCGAGGGTGAGGAAGTGCCTGTGGGTGAGGACCATGCAGAGGAGGACCACATCCAGCTCTCCTCAGATGAAGAGGTGGAGGTTGAAGAGATTATCGAAGAGTCACGGGCAGAGCGCATCAAAAGGAGCGGCATGAAAAGAGTAGATGACTTTAAGAAGGCATTCTCAAAGGAGAAGATGGAGAAGACTAAGCTAAAGACCAAGGAAAACCTGGAGAAGACCCGCCACAACTTGGAGAAGACCCGCCACAACCTGGAGAAAAGGATGAACAAACTGGGCACCAAGATTGTGACTAACGAAAGGAGAGAGAAGATGAAGACCTCTCGGGACAAGCTGAGGAAGTCTTTCACCCCTGACCACACCATCTATGCCAGGTCCAAGACAGCCGTCTACAAGGTGCCACCGTTCACGTTCCATGTCAAGAAAATAAGAGAGGGTGAGGTGGAAGTGAAAGCCACAGAGCTGGTGGAGGTTGGTGGAGAGGAGGGAGAAAACTCGGATCTGCTGCGTGGTGAGAGCCCCGAGACGCACACACTGCTGGAGATCACCGAGGAGTCCGACGCAGTACTGGTAGACAAGAGTGACAGCGAGTAGGACAGGCTGCAGCGCGGAAGGGTTGTGGATGACGGTTGAACAAGTTATCATTCACATTTCAAGATCTCTCTCTGCCCTGGTGCCCCAGGGGAAGTGTACACAATGCATCTTTACTACTCTGCAGACCCAACGCCAATCCCCTGCCTGCTTGGACAAGGTGTATTTTATATTTTAGTTTTAGCACACAGAAACATTAGGAACATGGGGCTGTTTTTCTTACACTGTTAAATCACCCTTGGAGACCATTCCTGCCGCAGGCTGCGTGAGAGCCTGAAGATAGACTTTGAGTGACAGGGACCCGACCCAGATGGAGAGTGCTAAAACCAAGATAACGGCCGTACACCTGGAAAGCTCAAGAGTCCTCCATAAGCAAAGACCTGGCATCAAGAAAGCTTTCTGCCAAGCAGCCCGCCGGTGCATGCCACCCAGACTCCCTGTGCCAGGCTGCGTGGCCAACCCCACAGGCAGGAAGACTTCCAGCACCCAAGCTGGCTGCCCTTTTGGGGCAGCAGAGGAACTGTGATGCACCCAGTGTGCAGGACGGAAGAGCTGAGCAAGTCCTGTTGACAGGCAGAGTATGGGCGAAGCTGAGCCAGCCGCGTTGCAGGCAGGCAGGTCTGCTCCTCTCTGCCCTCCCAAGGACTGGGTTACGTGGTGGTGCCTAGGACGGCTTCGCCACAAAGCCACCCTGCAGCTGGGACTGCTGTGGGTGCCCACGTGGC